ATAACTTGTCTAATTAATGAGGAAGTGCCAAAGCTATTTTAGTGCGGACAAAATATGCACATAGATGCATGCTAACTAAAACACACAACCTGAAGGCCATTTATGATTTAATCACTATTCCCAGTCAAATATGTAAAGATTGTTTCAGTTGCATATCTTTTGTCAAATATTTGAAACTAATAGTTAACAAACGAATGTTATGAAAAGAAAGCCAACAAAAAGTCTATCATAATTCAACTTGTTCTTTCATTCCTCAGTGAGTTAGTATGTTTTACACCCTGCATGTTACCTCATAAATAATGGACTATTGAATTTTGAAATGTGAGGAAATACAGAAAAAAACATATCAGAGATGGTGTTTGGCTTCAGTGAGATAAAGAAAGAAAGAAAGAAAAACCAGAGGAGGGAAAGAACACTCATGTGTCTGCCTTTAGTGAAAATGGAAAACTTAACAGTTTTAAATCGTTTTTTTTTTTACATTTGTACACTCTTACTTCTTTAAACAATATTTATGATTGTCATTGCAATATTCTGTTCAATTTAAATATTTAGAAAGATAATAGGAGAATTCCCATGGCTATTTTATAGCCATAGAACTCACAAGCAACTTATTCAATAATTAACTTAAGAATTACACTGGTCGACAGCTAATTTTCATCAGGAATGTAATGTACAGTGGGCTATGATAAGTTTTTAGCCACCATTAATTACAGCAATTTTGGCTTGTGTAATAACGTATCTACTGTTTTTTTTTTCTGACAATACCTTGTTAATATCAAGTTACTCTAATCGACGAACAATAGATGACTTATATTTTGCAATGCAAGTTCATGGAAGTAAGGAAATTGGTGATTTTCATTGAGGGCAAATAATAGAATGGCATCAGTGTTAAATAGAGAAATTGCTAGGTTTTTCCAGGTTAATCATCAAACAGTTAATAATATTGTCAAGAAATTTAATGAAGAAGGCCATTGTCATGTGGAACAACGTTCAGGAAAACCAAGCATCATGTCTGAATATACGAAAAGGGTGCTGAAGAGGGAAGTCATCAGAAACTGCCGTCAGTGCATCAAAGATGTCGTCAACAGCACGGAAATGTCAAAGATGTCAACAGCATGGAATGAATCTGAAAAAGCTTGGCTATCAAAAAAGAGTTGCAAGAAAGAAGCCCCTGATTTCAGAGATTAACAGGAACAGGCGTAAGGACTGATTCTGAATTTTGGCAGTTTGTAATTTAGTCAGATGAAAGTAAATTCTGCCAATATTCAAATCGAGACAGATTTATGTTTGGAGAAATCAGAATGAGACTTGGAACACTGAATGTTTGCAGGAAACTGTGAAACATGGAGGGATTGGAGTAATGGTGTGGGGCACTGTCTGGTTTGGAGGGAAATCTGAGCTGATTCTTGATGACGAGCAGTTGAATGGTCCAAAATACTGTCAAATGTTAAAGAATTGACTACTCCCACAATTTGAAACCAATCAGATTAACAAGAATGTCTACCTTTTTCAAGAAAATGGAGTGCCATGTCATACGAGCAAAGTAACAAAGGCCTGAAAGGAATCACAAGGAATCAAGTCACTGCCATGGGTAGCCCAAAGTCCTGACATGAATCCAATAGAGCATGTTTGGGAGCAACTTGACCGAAAACTTTGAAAGTGTGCAACCAAAATCATGTCAGTGTCAACCCTTAAAGAAACATTGCTAAAGGAGTGGCAAAATATGGATCAGACGATTGTTGATAACTTGATCAAATTCGTGAAAAATCAAATACAAGCACTGAAACTAGCAAATGGAGGACCTACACTATACTAGTTCCAAATATTGTTTATTTATGCTGAGTAGGGATTATGTAATTAAATTTTGAAATTGGATGTAGTTTATTTTCCTGGCTAAAAACTTTCCTTAGGCCACTGTACTATATTATACATAATTTTGTCTGCTGATTTGAAAAATGTAATCGGATTTCTATCAAACACAGCTTCTCTGATGAGATGAGGTGGGCATAAAATTTTAATTAGCCACCTTCCCACCTGTAAAAGTTTTATACAGGTAGTTACTGATTTGTATTTTATTACTATTTGTGTGCATTATTTAACTTTATGAATTATTAATTTTTTTTTTTTTTTTAAAGGTTTAATTAAGCATTTTTCACAAAATATTCCATTAGCCATATTTGGTATCTCCATTAATTTTACTTTTCAATTATCCGATACTCCTCACCTGCCCAGTCCAGTGTTCAATCATCATTATCATCATATTCTTCATCAAAATCTATTCAAGATGTCAAGACATTGTAAGAACAGTCATGATATATTTTGTTATGTCTGTAGTTCATTTACCATCAAAGCTCAGCAAAACACAATTGAAATCAAAAAGATCCACCAGTTGTACTTTGTATGCTCCGTTTGGGATCAAGATAAAAGTTGGGCACTGCATCTCATTTGTTCAGCTTGTTTCAATGGACTAAAGGATTGGTTTAATAAAAGGAAGATAGCAATGCCATTTGCAGTGCCTATGATATGGATAGAAACAAAGGATCATTCCAAAGACTGTTATTTCTGCATGATTATGTGGGTTTGCAGTCAAGACCAACCATGAGATTGTGTAGTCCAGCTAAAAAAATTGGTAAGAAGACCACACAACAATGATGACCATCTTGTACCAGTTCCATCAGAGAATGGTCATCAAATGTCTGGCAATTTGTTCTTGAAAATGAAGACAAACCACAGAAATTTTCTAAAGGAGAGTTAAATGATTTGATGAGACTTGGCATTGTCAAATGATAAAGCTGAACATTTAGAATCCTGTCTCAAAGAAAAGTGTCTGCTTAAGGACAATGTTTGCATTCTTCATTTCAGAAAGAGACCGGATGTATTTCTTCTGTGGACACACCACTTAGTTTTTCTAATAAAATGGAAGAGTTGTTTTACGGTTTGTGCCAAGAATGTGTTCTATCTGAATGACGCTGATTCATAATTTTATCTAAGAGAAGTCTCAAGGCAGTAGTAGTACTACTGCACAGCGGCAATAAGAAACCATGCCCATAGGAGTGTTATGAGAATATGCAGATAGTCCTTGATGCTATAAAATACTCAGAATTCAACTGGAGTATATGTGGAGACTTAAAGGAGATTGGAATGTTGATGGGAATTAAGTCCTGATTGACAAAATATTGATGCTTTTTATGCCTTTGGATGAGTTGTGCAACTGCCAAGCACTGCATTCAGTCAAAGTGGCCCCAGCAAGAATCATATGAGCCTGGAGTCTCTAACATCCAGAGTGAATCATTAGTAAAACCCAGAAATTGTTATTCTTACCACTCTTCACATAAAGCTTGTATCCATGAAATAATATGTGAAGATACTTGCCAGGAAGAGCTCAGAAGTCTTTGAATATGTGAAGGCCAAGTTTCCCAAAATCACTGAGGCAAAACTGAACAAAGATGTATTAGTAAATAAAGAGGTCTACAAGGACAAGAACTTCATTAAAGGCCTTGGTAAGAGTGAACTTAAGGCCTGGGAATCTTTTAAGTGGATCTGGGAAAATTTTCTGGACAAGAAGAGATCTCAAGAAATGTAAATAAAATGTCTTCTAAAGTCTTTAGCAGCAATGGGCTGTCAAATGTCACTGAAAATCCATTTCCTTGATTCACATCTAGACTTTTTTTTTGTTTTGCAGAGTCTGGGGAGCAAGGGGAACACCTTCATAATGACATGGCATCAATGGAGCAAGCATTTTGGAATGAAGTAAGACTAGTTGACTAGTGTTCAGTGTTATACAGGGATGAACCTGAGAATAAGCACCAGAGAAAGTCTAAATCCCAAAACATTTTAGACAGTATTATAGCTTTATTTTGCACACAATAAATTTTGATTTTGTACAATAAATGGCCATGAAAAGGTCATATCTTGTATTTATTATACCTGATATAAGTATATGAATTACGTACCCAAACATTAAAATTACAGGTATCAGTAGCATAAAAATGAGACCTGATGGAGAAAAACTAACTTCAGATTCGCAATTAGCAAGAAAAAAATCACTAAGAAAAGTAATCATTCAACTAAAACAAAAAAAAGTTTCAAAATTTTAAATAAAAAAAATGTAACTTTTCACCAGTATTACTAGTGTTATTAATTCAGTTAATCAGTTATTCTGTTATAATAAAAATACAAAGAAAATTTGCATTTGGCTGAAGAATATTCTAAGTGAAAGCTTCTTATTAAAAAAAAAAAAAAAAAAAGTATGTTAAAATATCAAGATATAAAAACATAATGAAAGTAGCGATAATTTTTTCGTTATTAAAGTTATGATAATCTTGTTAAAATGTCATAAAAACGCAAAGAAAATTGTACGGTACATCTGAAAACTATTTTGAAGCAGTGTCTTTTTTTTTCTTTTTTTAAATACTGGTATTATTTGGAAAAAAAAGTAATTTGTTAAAATATCAGAGAACAAATGTTTAATGTAAGTGGTAATAGATTTTAAACTATGAATTGAAAGCTGTTTTGTTAAAATATAATAAACAGTAAAAAAAAAAAGTTTAATTTAGTTCTCCAAAGTTTTAAATAAATTTAATGCATAAATATTAAAGTAAGTTTAGAATAATTATTTTGTTCTTTTTTTCTTTTTAGATTTCTAATTTATAAATGTAAAAAGAAGAAAGCCAAAAAAAATACAAAGTAATTATTCCAAACTTAATTTTCCTGAATATTTCAGCAGTAAAAAGTTGGTGTATTGCTTAGCAGTTTACCTCAAGGTTAGAGGTTCATATCAGAATAGAGTTCTCAAATTTTATGTATATGTTTGCCTTAGAGCAACAAAAAAAAAAAATTATGATAGAAAAAGAATCATTGATTTTTGATTGCCAAATTCTTTTTACTCATGTAAAAAAATAATTCTAAGTTCAATGAATCAGAACCCGTTAAAAGAAGAAGATGGGAAAAGTTTTGAGAATCGCTTTGCAAATGCTAGCAAAGACTAAATAAAGACTTACATCATAGATTGCAACTTTGCGAACATCACCAAATTTTGAACATTCGAGCCGCACATCTTCACGCAATTCTTGCAGAAGCGTTGGTTCTAACTGTTAAAAATAAAAAGAAATGAAGGTTTATTAGAATTTAACAGCAAATCAAAATATTCCTACCAGATACTAAATAAAAATAAACAGAAAGAATGACAAATGTTTTAAAATAAAATACATTGTAAACAATGTCAATGTTAAAAAGGAAAATGTTTCCTTAAAAAAAAAACCCCCAAAAAACCAAAAGAACATCAAACTACATCCCTTCAAGTTAAAATTTGACATTTTAAAATTATAGCACTGTAAAGCTTCCTTTTTCTTTAATGTCAGTTTATAGTAAACATCACAATGAAACACTTGTTACCAAATGATCACCAAAGGTAAGCAATGTCGAGCCTGATCAATACCTAGATGGGTGACTACTTAGTAATACCAGGTGCTGTAAGCATGGACATACAGGTAGTGTAATGGATAATGGCTTGGAATTGTTTAAAAAAAAAAAAAAAAGTTTGAGAGTTTCTTGCAAATGGATAGAAGAACAATATCAGAGAAAAGGTGAAAGGATTGAAGAAAGCAAGAAGCTGTGTCGAAGTACGGTCACCTATCTTTGAAGGAAAATAGCACCTATGAGGGGATGCTGAAAAGAAACTTGACTGATTCGCTTTCTATGGCTTATCAACCCTTTGCAGGTTATTTAAAGCCAGAAAATATTTTTAGATTGTAAGAATATTTTTGTGGGGAGATAACAGTTTAGTGATACAAGTCTTACTGGGTTAAAAGTAGGACTTGTATTGCTAAACTGAGGTATTTGTGTGCAAGTGAATATAATAAATCCAATGAGAATTGGAATTCAGCTCCCTGATCAACAATTCCAAGCCATTATCCATTACACTACTGGCACATACAAGCTTACATCACCTGGTATTCCCCAAGCAATCACACACATCAATTTTTAGTCAATTTTTCTTGCTGATTACAAATCTGAAGTCAGTTTTTCTCCATCAAGTCTCATTTTTATGCTACTGATACCTGTAATTTTCATGTTTGGGTACATAATTTATATATCAGGTATAATAAATACAAGATAGGCCATTTTCATGGCCATTTATTGTACAAAATCAAAATTTATTGTGTACAAAATAAAGCTATAATACTGTCTAAAAAGTTTTGGGATTTAGACTTTCTCTGGTGCTTATTCTTAGGTTCATCCCTGTTTAACACTGAACACTTGTCAACTAGCCTTCCTTCATTCCAAAATCCTTGCTCCATTGATGCCATGTCATTATGAAGGTGTTCCCCTTGCTGCTAAAGACTTTAGAAGACATTTTATTTCCATTTCTTGTAAGCTTCAACCAAGAAGCTCTTAAAAAAAAAAAAAAAAAAAAAAAATCTCATTTTTGCTAATTTAATCACATTTTGGGAAGTCGTCAAGAAAGAAATTATTATGCACAATTTCGGTGAGTACAAACAAGTACATTAGTATATACAGGTTTTTGGTTTCATTAGAACAAAATAAAAAGTGTTCTTTTTCTTTCTTTTAATGGTATATTTCGAATAGTGAAGCTTTTCCTGTTTGGTTACTTTTTAAATTTTTTACATTCATTTTAAATTAAAGTTTGCGCATTGTGTGGGCAATAATCAAGACACATGAAGCTTCCACACATGACTACTTGATGAAAACGTATGTAAACAAAGCCAGTTATGGCTGCCAGGCTGTAATCACAATGTGTATAAGGCCGAGCTTATATTGTCGATAACTCCTAAACAGTACATTTCCACAAACATTTATTGCTATTTTTTAAATAAGCATGCAAATTTACACCCAAATGGAAATTTTAATTACAATTGTTTTCTGGGGCTTAATCTGCAAATTTACCAAAAGTTTGGTTATCACTTCCAGGCCCTAACAATAATGAGAAAAGGTTTTTCTCTTTATATATATAAATAACTTTAAAAAAATATACTGCAAGATGAAAGAAGCATCAGTATTATTAAGGACAGTGAGTTGGTCTCGGGGGTGGTCTGTTTTTTTAAAGACCCCATCAATGTTAACTCATGTTTGACATGGGCTCTTGTGTTTTGATTGCTATGGTGTCTGGTCTTCCTCAACATTATTATAGCTTCAACAACAACAACCCCATCCCAAACTTACACACTTGGAATAAGTGCCTGGCCTCCTTAAGGCTACTATTTTTACGCCCAAGCTTTATTTTATTAGGTCTTTAAAAAAAAAAAAAAAAAAAAAGATGGAAAAGAGACAAAATCAAAAACACTACTCATGGTTTTATAGTTCCAAAACCCTTCATGTCTTCCCTTGCCCCTTCTACATTACCATTTTCATTCCGTGACATTATTTGAAATATAATTATATCTGTAGACCAAATATATAGAGAAGGATAGGAGGTGTTTTTGCTCTTCCAATTTTTAACAGGCAATAACTATACATATTGTCACAGTTTCTTTAGATCAGCCTCATATTTCAAATCAAGCAAGAAAATTTGTTTAGAGAAATCTTTCGCTGTTTTTCACTTATGTCAGTCATTAATACTGACAGTAAAATTAGGAATTAATTATAAGAAATTGAAATCATCTATATAAAAATTAAAATAAAAGTTTACTACTAACTTTAAAAATAAAAATCAGGTATTAATTATAAAAATTAAAATCATATGTTAATTAAAGATTTCTAAAAAGAAATTTGTTATTAATTAGAGGTTTATAAAAAAAATCTGTTATCATAATCCATTGCTGTCCATCTGGTATTCCTAAGTGATTAATGATGCTTAACTTCGGTGATTATATAGGAACCTGTTTCAACTTAATGCAGCTGTAAGCCTAGCAAAAATGTTTAACCCCACGAAAGAAAAGCACAGAAAATGGAATCAGCAAGTACAAGTTCTGTCCTAGTCTACTGCATTCACTTTCACACTTATGCTCTCTTGGGCAACAAAAAAAAAAACAGAAGTTCTAGAGAGACATGTTCAACATTCAGAAATGTGTAAATAGCATAAAGGTTATTTACACTATTTATATTCAGACTTGTCTTCATCTTAGTTGTTTTTATCACAACGTTCAGCCGTTGTGCTCTCTGGCCTTCCTCAAGTGTATATAGATCTGGGTAATCTATAGGGAATTCTGAACTGAACCCTTTATTTAATCTATGAGGGTAGACTGTTCTCATTCCACTGCTCATGTCTAGGGATATCTAGGGGGCAGTAGATTGAAAACAGTCTACTCTCATAGATTAATGAAAGGGTTCAGTTCAGAATTCCCTGTAGATTAACCAGATCATTATACACCTGAGGAATGCTGGAGGGTGCAATGGTTGAAACATTGTGATAAAAACAACCAAGATGAGGATAATAGTCCGAATATAAAAAGGATAAATAATGATAACTCTTCATCCCAGAAATTCAGACAAAATGGTTATCAGCATAGAAAGTGGATTCAACAAACTGCATTCCCATGACTGATTAGTCTGCTACATTCCCTTTCATTCTCTAGGAGAATAATTTATGTGAATCAATAGCAGAGTAAGGACAAAGTTCTTTTTCTGCCATGTGCCACGTCCCTTAAGGATATGCCTGATCATGGCTCTCCACAACTTCCTATTCCTTGTGGCCCTTAGCAGATTTTCTGCTCCCATCTTCAATCTACTATCCATTCACATGAGATCAGGTAGGTGGCTCGCTGCTTTCCTCTATCTCTCTTGCCCTCAATATATTCTGTGAGGGTTAAGTTTTTAAATCCCACCTTATTAACTCAGACCAGCAAGTTAAGATTGAAAGTCATGGAGAGCCATGATTGCCCAAGTCCTGAAGGCATATTCAGAGATATGCAAATAGCATAAGACTTATCAGAGCGAAAAGTGAATTCAGAAAACTGAATTCACATTCCTGTTTAGTCTACTGCATTCACTTTCACACTTATGCCCTTGGGAAAGACATGAATCCATCATTTCTCCCACACAAGCTATGGGTTAAATAGCAGGGTAGATTAGATTGAGTTCTTTAACTTTGGGTGGTAATCACTCTAAAAGAAAGACAACTATGAATTCAAAGGAAAAATACTTTGCTATCTTTCCCAAGAAATTATGACAATTCACAAATAATAAAGAAAAAGAAGTAGTCGATGACCTGAAGGGACTTGGTATTGGATAAAAAAAAAAAAATGTATTAAAATAAAAATAAATAGGTAGCTTATGTCAGTGTTTCCTTTCCTCCGATTTTCTATCCTTTTTTCTATCTTTTTAATCAAAATTAACAGATAGACAATCAGAACATATTCATGCATATCTCTATATTCACATAGAATATCAGGCAAAGTTTAACATTCATATTTGCAAAATAACGGTGTGTTGAAAGGACATTTGTTTCCTTGACGCTGCCATTACCATATACACTCTCAGCAATTTGGGTACCTCGAGGTGGTGTAATGGTTAGCAAGCTTGTCTAGCTAGAACAATTACGATTGAGTAGTGAGTTCCATCCTCACTGGGTATCTCCTACTTTCGGCCTTGTGTCGCATCTAAGCTACGCTTGGAAAATCACTACACTCTCAGCAATTTTTATCATTTTAAAAAGCTTTTCTTTAGAATTTTAATAAAATCTAAACATGAAACTGAATCATTTTTCTTTTTCTTTCTTTGCTGCTCAAGAATTGACAACAGAAGGTTTAAGCATTATTTAATTTATTAGTGTTTATTTACAAGAAAAATTTTATACTGACAAGTTTATAAAAATATGTGAAACAACTACAATGAAATATTTATTATTTGACATACAATAAAGAAATAACGATGAAAACAATTCTTTTTTTTCATAAATTTATAGAAATGATCATGAACAAAAAATTTAAATAAACACAACTACAAGTAACTATAATTATAAATTTTCAAAAGATGTATTTTACAGGGATTTCTTTCATTTTCCCCTGCTATGTAAATTCACTAAAATAGACTGACATCATCTGGATTTATACTATTTTTTTGAGAACTGACAACAAAAATGTTAAACACCATTTATCTGTTCAATTGTTTAATTACAAGAATAGTGTTTTAA